GGGGCTGCGGGGGCGGCCCGCGCTGCGCACCCCGAGAGCAGCTGCTGCTCCTGCTGCTCCCCGCACGGCTCCGCTCCCTCACGGGATTGCGGGATTAATGCGGGTGACACGTGCGGCTCCGGGGAAATTCGCGTTTGTCTCCAGGAGCTGTTTGTCCAGGGTTGTGCCCGCTGAGCCTCTGTTTTCTGCGTCACCTCCGCAGGTCCAAAACTTCTGGATGTAGATAAACGCATTTGTTACAAACAATTTTGTGCTAGAGGAACAGCTTAGCCCTAATTTACAAAGAGCACGCTTTTAATATTTGTGTTCCCTGCGAACAAATCTGCTGAGCAGAAAGGTGACTGCTAACAGACAAATACACGTTTCTCATTTGCACATCTTGCCAGGAATTCTGTGCAAATTAAAACAAATAATGCACATTTCAAGTGTGTATATAACTGAAAATAAAGTTTTGGGTACCCTGGTTATTTACAAATAGCCACAAACAGAAGGAAAGGAAATAAGATAGTTTTTAGGTCTTGCAGTTAAATTCTAATGAAAATAAATAGTGCTTTCAGAATCCTTTCTGATGCAATATAAAACTTGTGTGTTAGCAGTACTGATGGTTTCAGTTTGATGGATTTACAGAGCCTGGTGTTATTATATGTTGGTGTTTTGCATATTTGTTATAGAAGTTAAAGGTTTTCTTTCTGCCACAATGAAGATTAATCAAACAAGACCACAAACAATTATTTGTAATACCCAAAATTACTTGGATATTTTTATTTTAGGGGGAAAAAACTATCACCAAACATTTGTTTTTCTTCCTTGAGCCTTCCATCCCTTCCAGCACAAACCAAAGACAGCTCCAGAGGGAGTTTCCTTGTTCCCAGCTGGGATAACTGACGTGGCAGGAGCTCACCTGTGACAGGTGCAGTCCTTTCCTGGGCTGCTCTGTATTTGGACACTTTGTCTCATTTTTCAGGGCTGTTGAGGGGATTTGTGTCTTTGAAACTTTGTAGCTTTAGATACACATTAACTAATCTGTTGGGAGATTCCTTCGGTGCCTTGGTGTCCTTTCCCTTGTGTGAGGAGGGCCCTGGCACTCAGGCCCTGCAGATTTTTCCTGGACTGATGGGAATCTGCTTGGGGTCACTTCAGGGCCCCCAGTTCCACTTCACCCCAAACAGAGGGACATTTCTTAACAGTGCCACGTTCTTTTTCTGTTCCTTCTTCAAATTCCAGTTGACTTTTTTCCCTGCCTAAGGTGTCCATCCATTTTTGGAGGGGTATGGGATATAAATTATAATCTGTGAATTCTCCCCATCATCTGGGTTCCTTTCTATCCTGGATCCTGCTGGGATTTTCCCTTGCCTGTAATGTTTGAGGAGCCAATCCCATTTCCATTGCTCCGCCTCCTGGTTTGATCCGTGTCACTCTGACCCTTATTCTCCTGCACTCCCAGATCATGTGGAACTTCCTGAGCTTCTCCAGATTCCTGGTTTTCCTTCTCTCCCCTCATCCACCTCCTTTCCCCAGTTTATTTAATCCCCTGTTTCCCATTCGTTGTACACCTCAGCTGGGTCTTTAATGCACAACCAGTTTTGGGACTTCTTCCAATTTTCCTCCTCCTCCTTCTGTTTTTCCCAGACTCCACTGCCTGGTTCTCATCTTTATTGTATTCCATAAAATACCATCCAAACTGGAAAGTGGAGGGAATGGATTTCTGAGTTTCCTGTAGTCCAGCCTCAGGAAATCCTTGTGTGTCCCAGCATTCCAGTGGCTGAGAGACAATTCCTGAATGTTTTAGTCTTGGGTGAATTAGAATAATGATGGATGGTGGCTTTTTTTGGGAGCTGTTGAGAACATCCAGTTCTTGATGAATTTCACCCAGCTTGGATTTGAGAGTGAGTGGAAATACCATTTTTAAAAGTGCAATACACAGATGTAAATTAAATGTCAGGCTGCAGAAGCATTGCCTAACACATTTTCAGTTGTTATTTTAGGTTCATTATTTTGGGAAAAAGCTCAGCTATCCCAAAGCATTCCCAATGGCACTCCTGGCTGTAAACAGGATCTGCTGAAGAGTCAATAGGATCTGCTCTGGTTCACATTCCTTTGTTATCACTGGCATTTTAAAAATGCCTGAAAATATTGGGCTGCATTTCTTTAATGAATTGTGTGATTTTATTCAATTTAGATTAGGAACTCCTTCAGCTCTGCCATCACCCTTCATTTTACTTTTCTTTACAGTTTTACTGTGATTTTGTTAAACACCTACTAATGCTTCCTTGGGTTTATGTTATTATTCTTTTTTATTTCTTCTTATTTCTTATTAATTATTACTTATGGGCTAAAAAAGGCACCATTTTGCCAAGCTGCTGTGGATTCCTGGGTACAAAAGAGCCAACAGATTTTAAATTATTTTTCTCTCATTTATCACTGCAGTTGCTTCCCAATTTATTCAGTCTGCAAGCTGTGGGAGCAAGTATCTGTTTCTAATTTTAATGCTTCAGAAGCTGCAATGTGCTGGCTCCAATTTAGTTTTCCACATCAGGTGAAATGTAAGGTTATTAAAGTGTGGTCTGACAGACACTGAGGGCAGTTGTGTGTGTTTGGCTCAGTGGGGCTGAAGGTGAGGGAGCTTTTGGCATTTGCAGTGCCAAAAATAGACCCTGGATCTGTCTGGTGGTGTCGGAGTTGTTCCCTGAATTCTGACAACCCCCAGTGCTGAAAGGCTTGATCAGCCTCAGCAGCCCAGATCAAACTGCTCTGGAGCTGGGATGCCTTTGAAGTCGGATGTTTTGAGTTGTGGCTGGGAATCCAGGTAGGAAAAGCAGATTTTTGTCAGGATCAGTGATGTTTTCAGAGCTCCCCAGGCTCATCTGGACCTCTGGCCTGGTGTAGGTTTAGGACTTGCTGCTGCTTCCACTCCCTGCCTGGGCCTTTTGGAGGCAGCTTTTAACTCGTCTGTCCCACAGTTCTGTCTGCAGAACAATTTTTCTTCCTTTTACTTTGTACATCAAATTCCAGCAAATTCTTCTCTGCTTTCAGCACAGGGGGGCTCTTGGAACCCATTCTGGACCTTGCCTGGCTTGACTGCACCTGGATTTTCAGTTAGGTTTGGTTTTAGGGAAGTCACAGCTGTAGTTCTACAATTATTTCCTGTTGCAGGATGTGAATATTTCTGGGTTGGTTTTTCTTTGAAGTGACTCAGAACTTGTCAGTTTTGGGTTTGTAGGTTGACAGACGTTTGTTCTGAGCTGGGAACAGACCTACCTTGGAGGGGGGTGCTGTGCTCAGCTTTTCATTCCTGCCTGAGCTCCTGAAATTTCCTCGTTTCCCTGCTGAAGGACAAGGCAGGAGCTCGGCACTGGGCACTCCTCAGGCTGTGGGAGCACAGTGAAATTTAGTCTAGAAGCTGGAATGGAATTGGGTTGATGAATAAATCAGAATCCCAGACTGGTTTGGGTTGGGAGCGACCTTAGAGCTCGTCCAGTGCCACCCCCTGCCATGGGCTGGGAGCTTCCACTATCCCAGGGTGCTCCAGCCTGGCCTTGGGCACTGCCAGGGATCCAGGAGCAGCCACAGCTTCTCTGGGAATTCTGTTCCAGAGGCTGAGCACCCTCCCAGCCTGGAATTCCTTCCCAATATCCCATCTCTCCCTGCCCTCTGGCAGGTCAAAGCCATGAGTGCACACGCTGCCCCTACATGCCCTTGTCCCAAGTCACAACAATCCTTTAATCATCACCCTCTTCATTTCACAATCTACCTTCATCTGGGGCCTAAAGCAGGGAGTGTGAAACCACAGGGTTTAACTGAGACACAATTGGTAACTTTTTCTCTTTTTTCAGCCAACTTTTCCTCCCAGCCAGGGCAGAATTTGCACTTAGGTGGATTCATTGCACACAGCAGAACTGACGTGCAGCTGGAGTGATAACAGAGCTGACATGCAGCTCCAAGAGAGGGAATGTAACAATTGGGGTGTGCTTTTGGGGTTGATTCTGTGTTTCCCTGCTGTCCCTGAGTGCTGGCTCTCTCTTGCAGTGACTCCCCCTTGCCGGTGTCGTCGCGTGTGTGCTTTGTAAAGTTCCAGGACCCCGACTCGGCCGTGGTGGCCCAGCACCTGACAAACACTGTGTTCGTTGACAGAGCCCTCATAGTCGTTCCCTATGCTGAAGGTTTGTAACTTGTTTGATGTTCTATGGGGCCACCCTTGGGGTGGTGGTTGGTTCCTGTCTAGTGCACAAAATTGAACAGTAGTCCTATGTCAAACATGTCAGAGATTGCCATTCTGAAACCCTTGGTATATTGCCTTTGGCCCCTGGATTTGATCAGATTGTTTCCATAGAGACACCAAATCAAAGTGGAAAGTTTTGTGTGGCTTTAAAGTGTAGAATAAGAGCGTTTTAGGCAGAATTCTATGCAAATTTTGCTCTGTGTCAGTCTCAATGAGACATTTTCCCAAACAGACTGTAATGCAAACAGGTCAATATTTTAAGGAAATTTTACCTTATTGATTGTTTGCCACTTTCACTCTCTTCATGAGGATGATTTCTCCCTCCCTGAGAGTGCATGGGAGAGGAATTAACATTCCTTTGGGATAAGCTGCCGTTGCATTTATTTGGGAACATCCCCAAAAAAGGCCCTCACTCTCCTTGTGGAGTCCAGTATACCAAGGGTTTGAGTAATTACGGTTTAATTCAAAAGTGACAACTTCCAAGAGGTGCCACATGGGCACTGGTCCTAGTTTTTAATTCCAAGTTTTCTTGTTCATCCTTGATATATTTAATAGAATTTCACTAAATAATAAACTCTTCTCTCTGTTATTTGTGTGTGTGATTTTTGTAGTGGAGAAGGCAAATGCAAAGCCCTTCCAGATGACTGAAAAACAGTGGGTCCTCTGCAGCTACAGGGGATTCTAGCCATTAACTAAAGGCCAGCAAGCACTCAAGTCCCCAAGTGTTTTCCTGGTGTAACCACTTGTTAACTACATTTTCTCTTCTTCTTTTTATTTTTACATTTTAGGGTGTTACAGTAATTTGAAAGGCAATGAGCAGGGTTTTTGGAACTTACCTTAAAAGCAAAGTGCTGAGAAGACACCTCTTCTTACAGAAGTCTTATTAAACTCTTCTAGACTTGCTTTAGAAGTAACTGATTTCCATTGTACTTGTGCATTTCTTGATTTACTTCTGGGAAAGGTTGAATTGAATAAAATCTTGCAGATTAAGTCATACTACAGTGCTAAGTTTGGTACATGGCCCTGGGTCACACCTGTAATCTGTCATGCTGGAGCTGTCTCTTGAGGCCTGGGGAGCTGTCTTATCTTATCTTTGTATTCCTTAAGCTTAAAAGATACGAAAGTTAAAGTTAAAAGATGTCCAACCTAATTCCTGGAGTGTAGGAATGTGCAGCAGTGTTGGCCTCTGACTGAGCCCTGCTGCTTCCTGGGGGTCCAGAACCCCTTCTGCACTGGAGTTACTGCTCCTGCTGCCACTGCTGGAGAACAGCAGAGCTGAAAGGCTTCTTGTCCCTGTGTGGGTGTTAAACACAGCACCAGGCCAATGAGATTCTGCTGGAATATTCTCCAAGGCCCGTGGGAATAATGCCAGTGTTTAATTCTTCCTACAAGGATAAACCCACTTTTCTCTTTGTCAGTCTGACTTTGTCCACTGGGGATAAACCTGGCACATAGAGAAACCTGCCCAGCAGCTGTGCTTCAGAAAATCAAATTGTTAAAGTAGAATATTTTACTGGGCCTGTTAAGGAGTCACCCCTGGGCTGTACCTTGTGTTGTTGAACAGCTCAGAATTTAATGGCCTTGGCACATCACAAGAGAGATGTTCAGCCCATGAAGTCTTGCCCCTGGGTTGATAATCCCATACTTCTGTCCCTGTGCTGGAGTACAGTTTCTCCCCAAAATTCAGCCTGCCAGGGTCCCAATTGAACAAGAAGCAGCATTTTCCCCAGCCCACAGTGCCACTGCTGATGTGCTTAAAGCCAGGCCTGTGCTGAATGGGGCCCTCCTCTCTCTGATTTCTGCTGTGCTAATGAACCTGTGTGATTATTGCCTGTCACTAAAGCAAATGTTTATTATCTGTTTAGTGCAATAATTCCCCCCCTGTCCCAAGTTTTAGCTCACACAGACACTTTGGTGTTGGCTGTTGCTTTGTGTTATAGAACTATACACAAAGGCTACGGTAAGGTTTAGTATTTGTCATTTTCTCTGGGCTAATTCCTAGATTTGGAAGGAACTCTTTAAGGTTAAAGATGGCTGGGGGGGGTGTTTAGGTTCTTTGGTTAATGTTTGTTTCTTTTTGTCTGTTTCTTTTTCTTTCATTTCTACACATTCATGCAGTATTTCATGGTTCTAACAAAGCAGCAGTAAAAAAAGCTCTTGAAGCATGAAAATTAACTGGTGAGGGGCCTCATTGCTTTTTTTTAAATTATAGTTTATTTAAATACTTTTTAAAGAAACAATTAGAGGATCAGATGCATGAATTTTTTTTTAATGGATGCAGATCTTCTATGAGGTGTCTCGAGTTAAGTCTGAGGATTTGTATTTAGATGCCAGAAATGTTGTAGTTGCACTAATTTGAAATGTTTAGCTGTAATTGATAAATATCCTCTTGAGACATAATTTTGCATGCCAAATGACCCCATAATCTCTCTGTAGGTATGTTGATATATTTATGCATTCCTGCCCTTTGCCTCCATGACCTTTTTCCCCTGTCCCTCCATAACTTTGGGTATCTAAAGTGCTGCCAGCTCAGTGCCACGAGCCAGATATCAGTGCTGTGTATTGTACATTTGTGTAGATTATCGGCACTTCTCAGTATAGGTGGGAGGAACCATTACCTTTATTTAACAGTGGTTTTTCTTTTTTGTTGTTGTGTTTTACAGTTCTTTTCCCTGGTTCAGCCTGAACTATATACCAGGCCCTGCTGAAAATACCACCCAACAGTTTTCTTCTGCAGCTTATCCAGTTTCTCTTAAGTGCCCTGTACATATTGTATGTTTTATGATGAGATGCAGTTTCTTAATATGTATTACAGAAACACTACTGGTATTTGCAACTATATAGTAAAATTGTTTTATTGAACTCTCATTTTGGGGGCTTGGGCACATTAACAAATTAATCCATCTGTATAGGGCTTTTGCTGTTGGATAGAGTAAAACTCCCTCCACACCTGTTTGCCAGTAGGGCCCTGAGCACTCTGTGTGCAGAGCAGGCAGCGCAACAGCCCCTGGGCTTAGCTGGCTGCAAGACTTTGGGCCACGAGTCCCCTGTGCCACAGCAGGTGGCAGCAGCATTGTTGGTGCTCTAGGCTGGCACATATCGGAGCAAAATGCATTTTACTGCACAGGTAAGGAATGTGCCAGCATCCCTGTGTGTATCCCAGCCACAGACACAGCCCCAGCATTCCCGGAGAGCCGCATTCCATGTGACACGTCAGCAAAAGCCCTACCCAAAACACCCATCCCTTCTCTTTTAAGTTTGCCAAAATTTGTATGGTAGGTGTAAAAGAAAACATAGTGAACTGTACCATATTATTAACCCCTAAATCCAACTTTTTTTGTCTTGTGTATCTTGATTTTTCTGTGTGCTTTGTAGTGAAGCAGCCGACACGAGTCGTTGTTCATAAAACAGCTTTTGAAAGTTGAGAGCACTCTCACCCCTGGAGAACCGACTGTGCTTGCTTACGTTTGGTTCATGACTTAAAAATCGAGTACAGGTGATGAAACCTTGGCAGTGTTAACAACAAAGTAGTGTGTATTGTGCTATTTTTTTGCTCTAGAAACTTAACCTTTTGTAGAGAAAAAGGAACAGTCAAATTGTCACCCATTGAAGTTGCATTCTGACAAAAAAAGTTAATGCTAAATATTAATAGCCATCAAGCTTTGTATTTTAGCCAACATAAGTACTTTCAACAAACTCAGGTGGTGTATCAGGGAGACTTTGCTGGGTGTATTTGTGTATTTGGTGCCTCTGGGCTGGGATGCACTCTAATGCCAGGCTGTTTTCCTGCAGGAGTCATTCCTGATGAGACTAAGGCTTTGTCTCTGTTGGCACCAGCTAATGCCGTGGCAGGGCTGCTGCCCGGGGGTGGCCTGCTGCCCACTCCCAACCCTCTCTCTCAGGTAGGCTGGGGAAGCCCTGGGTGTCTCCTGCTGCATTCCCACTTCATTCCTGCTCTTTCTTTCAGGACTGGTGTGTTCATTCCAGTTCCAGGGCCCTGATGGATGGGGACAGCTCTGATGTGAATTGGGGCACGAGAGCCACGAGTTGTTAGATGGAATATCCTGATTTCCCTATTTCCTGCTTTCTCGGGGCCCTGCTTGTGCCTCCCACCCCTCTCACCCACTGTACTTTGCAGATGTGATAAGGAGTAGAGATCTCACAGATTTTAACTTCCTCACATCCAGGGAGCTGCCACGCTGTGAGATTCCCTTCATTAATCCTCCAGCTGAGGGGAAAATGGGAGCCTGGTTGTGTGAACCCACAAGAATTCATGTGGAAGATGAACAGTGAGAACTGCACATTGTGGGAGAGGTTGGAGTCACAGCTCAGCTCTTAACAGGGCACAGAATCAAAGTGCAGGAGGCAAATTAATCACAATAAAACCTCATTAATTCTGCACTTCTCAGACCCACCTCAGCTCCTGCTGGCCATGGAGCTCCTCAGGGGGGAAGAGCCTAAATTCAACCTTTGAAACCCAGGGAAGGGGCTGGAAGAACCAAATACAACCCAGAAGATTTCATTCACTGAAAGCTGTGCATAAAAATCCTGGAAATGGTTGTTGAGCCAGCTGAGTTCCAGCTGTGTCTGAAGCCCAGGCTGTAAACAGTGTGTGTTGGGTTTGGGTGTCTGTCTCAATCCTCTCATTTGAAATGGCCCAAACTGAGCTGCTTTCAGGAGCCTCCTGCTCTCCCAGTAGCTTCCTACCCAAATTTAGAGACATTTGCAGGGATGCAGTATTTTTAAATTGCCTTTTAACATCAACCGTGGCCATCTCAACCCTAAAATGAATTAGAAATGGGGCAATAGCCTCAAAAACTTAAAATGAATTTCCATTTTAGCACTGAAAAATAACTTAATTTTCAACTGTCACTTCTTCAATTTTTGAAATGCTTTCCTCCTTCACCCACCTTGATTTCCC